GAGGCAGAGAGAGATAGAAAGGCAGAGATAGAGGGAGATAGAAAGTTGGAGAGAGGTAGATAGAAAGGTGGAGAGAGGCAGGTAGAGAGAGATAAGAAGGGAGAGGTTAAGTGAGATAGAGAGGTAGAATTTGAGAGAAAGGTAGAGAGATATAGAGAGGTAGAGGCAGAGTGATAGAAAGATAGAGAGGGAGAGGCAGAGAGCCATAGAAAGGTAGAGGTAGAGAGAGATAGGGAGGCAGAAGTAGGGTGAGAGTGAGAGAGTGAGAGAGAGAGAGAGAGAGAGAGAGAGAGAGAGAGATAGAGAGAGAGATAGAGTGAGAGAGAGAGAGAGAGAGAGAGAGTGAGAGAGTGAGAGAGTGAGAGAGTGAGAGAGTGAGAGAGTGAGAGAGTGAGAGAGTGAGAGAGTGAGAGAGTGAGAGAGAGAGAGAGAGAGAGAGAGAGAGAGAGAGAGAGAGAGAGAGAGAGAGAGAGAGAGAGAGAGAGAGAGAGAGAGAGAGAGATAGGAGGAGGAGGAGGGGGAGAGAGATTTAGGAGGAGGGGGAGAGAGATTTAGGAAGATGGGGGAGAGAGATTTAGGAAGAGGGGGAGAGAGATATAGGGAGAGGGGGAGAGAGATTTAGGGAGAGGGGGAGAGAGATTTAGGGAGGGGGGAGAGAGATTTAGGGAGAGGGGGAGAGAGATTTAGGGAGAGGGGGAGAGAGATTTAGGGAGAGGGGGAGAGAGATTTAGGGAGAGGGGGAGAGAGATTTAGGGAGAGGGGGAGAGAGATATAGGGAGAGGGGAAGAAAGAGAGAGAGAGAGAGGGGAAGAGATATAGGGAGAGAAAAAGGGAGTGAGATAGGGAGAGAGAGAAGGAGATAGGGAGAGAGAGAAGGAGATAGGGAGAGAGAGAAGGAGATAGGGAGAGAGAGAAGGAGATAGGGAGAGAGAGAAGGAGATAGGGAGAGAGAGAAGGAGATAGGGAGAGAGAGAAGGAGATAGGGAGAGAGAGAAGGAGATAGGGAGAGAGAGAAGGAGATAGGGAGAGAGAGAAGGAGATAGGGAGAGAGAGAAGGAGATAGGGAGAGAGAGAAGGAGATAGGGAGAGAGAGAAGGAGATAGGGAGAGAGAGAAGGAGATAGGGAGAGAGAGAAGGAGATAGGGAGAGAGAGAAGGAGATAGGGAGAGAGAGAAGGAGATAGGGAGAGAGAGAAGGAGATAGGGAGAGAGAGAAGGAGAGAGGGAGAGAGAGAAGGAGAGAGGGAGAGAGAGAAGGAGAGAGGGAGAGAGAGGGAGAGAGAGAGAGAGAGGGAGAGAGAGAGAGAGAGGAGAGAGAGAGAGGGAGAGAGAGGGAGAGAGAGGGAGAGAGAGGAGAGAGAGAGAGAGAGAGAGAGAGAGAGAGAGAGAGAGAGAGAGAGAGAGAGAGAGAGAAGGAGATAGGGAGGGAGAGGGAGAGAGGGAGAGTGGGAGAGAGGGAGAGAAGGAGAGGGTGGAGAGAGGGAGAGAAGGAGAGGGTGGAGAGAGGGAGAGAAGGAGAGGGGGAGAGAGGGAGAGAGGGAGAGAAGGAGAGGGGGAGAGGGAGAGGGAGAGGCAGAGGTAATGGGAGAGAGAGAAAGAGGTAGAGAGAAGTAGAGAGTGGTAGAGAGAGGAAGAGGTAGCGGGAGAGAGAGAGAGAGGTAGAGAGAGACAGTGAAAGAGAGAGAGAGAGAGGTAGAGGGGTACAGAGTTGGAGAGATGCAGGGGGAAAGGGAGG